AATCTTAGCTTCGTCGAGCATGGTTCTAGCCATCTCTTCGAGACACCTATTTTTCCTTTCCACTACCCCATTTTGTTGTGGTGTACGTGGAGCGGAAAAGGTATGCTCGATTCTGAGTTCGTCACAAAAGTCCGCAAAGAGATTGTGATCAAACTCTCCCCCATGATCACTTCTAATTGAAGTGACGGTTGTTTCCTTTTCGTTTTGAACACGCTTAAGGAAATATTTAAAATTTTGAAAAGCATCACTTTTGTTAGCAAGAAATAAAGTCCAAGTAAATCTAGAATAGTCATCAACAATAAGAAAAGCATAACGATTTCTTCCTAGACTTTCAATGCGAGATGGTCCAAATAAATCCATGTGAAGCAATTGCAATGGTCTAGTAGTTGAAACAAAATTTTTGGATTTGAAAGATGCTTTTGTTTGCTTCCCTTTTTGACACGAATCACAAATAGAGTCATTTTCAAATTTCAAGTTGGGAAGACCAATGACTAAGTTTCGAGAAATTAATTTGTTCAAAAGATGCATGTTGATATGTGCTACTCTACGATGCCATAGCAAAGTATCATCTTCTTTGCTCATAAGACAATCAACATATTCGGGTGAGGAATTACCAAGATCAACCATATAAATATTATTCACTCTAAAACCACGAAGGATAATTTTTAAATCACTGCGTCTAAACACTAAGCATTGATCCGAATCAAATAGAGCAAGATTTCCCTTGTCACATAGTTGGCTTATGCTCAAGAGATTATGCTTCAAACCTTTCACAAGTAATATATGTTTAATAGAAGAATTTTCATCCTTACCGACCGATCCGATGCCGGTAATCTTTCCTTTATTGTTATCACCAAAAACCACACTTCCTCCATCTTTGTGTTCTAGTTGAAGAAATTTTGATTCATCTCCCGTCATATGCTTGGAGCATCCACTATCAAGGTACCATAGTACACTTGAATCCTTCAAACACACCTACAAATTAATGTGTTTTAGGTACCCATGCCATTTTGGGTCCTTGGGGGTTAGGCATATTATAATGATGCGATTGAGTGATATGCCTATGTCGTGTAAAGCAGGCAGGAGCAATATGACCAATACGTCTACAATAATGACAAGTCACGTTAGGGTTATGCATCTTTCTAGGTTCATAGTAACTTGACGGACGAAAATGATTTCTAGGTTGAGGGTTATGTCTAGATGTTCTAAAAGGTTCAAAACTCCTTCTAGTGTTAGGCCTAGAATATGCATCATTTCTACGGTAGTTATTTCTAGGTGGTGAGTCATTTCTAGGTCTCCTAGGATGTTCAACATTTGGTCTAGCATGCATATTGGTTCTAGGATAGTTAGTTCTAGGATAAGCATTTGTTTTATTGATCCTAGGTGGAGCCTTAGGTGGTTGGGGTTTGGCTTCAACCTTTTCTATAGGCTCTTTCTTAAACCCTATGCCATGCTTGGTGGACTTCAAATTTACAAGGACCTCATTCAAATTTTTGTGAGAAGAATTAAATTTATCTAAGGTTCCCTTGAGTCTATCAACCTCATTTTTGAGATGCATGCAAGAAGAACAATTTTTAATAGAACTTTCGGGCTTGTCGGCGCTTCTTTTTCCGAAAAACTTGTTTTCCTCTTTCAGCTTCTCATTTTCTAAAAGCAGTTTTTCTAAATCCTTTTCTTTCAAAGAAAGCTGTTTTTGAAAATCATTTTCTTTTAAGGCAGCATTTTCTTTTATGCTCCTAACAGTTTTTGAAGCCTTAATAAATTCAGTATATAACTCATCAAAAGTAGTTTGCATTTCTTCAAGAGTAAAGAAGTTTTCAGAAGAGATTTGACATACCTCATCTTTGTTGTCTTCTTGTGCCATAAGACAAAGATTTGCGGCTTCGTCTGCTTCGTCTTCGCTTGACTCGTCTCCGGAGTCGCCTCCCCAAGAAATGTAAGCACGTTGCTTCTTAAAAGGTTTCTTCTCCTTTTTGGCATTTGGGCAGTTTGGTTTGATATGCCCTAATTCTCCGCATCCATAACATTTTAGCGGTTTGTCTGGCCGCCTTCCTTTTCGTTCATACTCTTTGCGCATGAACTTGTTGAACCTTTTAATAACGAGTCCAAACTCGTTATCTTCGTCCTCATCAACTTGAGGTTGGCTTGTGCTTGCCGTTAGAGCTATTCTTTGCTTCCTTTGATCATCAACAAGAGGGTTAAGTATAGTAGATTCATAAGTCTTAAGGTTACCTCTTAATGCGTCGATGGTGACATTTGAGACGCCAATGGATTCTTGAATTGCGTCGGCCTTTGATCGCCATGCCGGAGTGAGACTTCTAAGAATTTTCCGGACAAGTTCTCTATCCGTGAATGTTTTCTTGAGAGCATGTAAGTCGTTTACGATATTTGAAAATCGTTCAAACATTTCATCAACCTTTTCACCTTCCTTCATGTGAAACAGTTCATATGCATGGGTTAGGAAATCAACTTTGGCTTCCCTTACCTGATCCGTACCTTCGTACGTGATTTCCAGCTTATCCCATATTTCCTTTGCCGTTGTGCAACACGATATTTTTCTGTAGTCATCAGCATTTATAGCACAATATAATAGGTTAATAGCTTTAGCATTATTTTGCACCTTTCGGACATCATCCGCATCGTATTCGTCTTCGGATTTGGGAACCCACTCGTTTTCAACCTTCTTGGTTGGAATTTGATTTCCCTTCATTATCACCTTCCAAAGGTAAAAGTTATTTGATTGAACAAAGATCTTCATCCTTTCCTTCCAGTACGTGTAGTTTGTATCGTTGAATAGAGGTGGTCGTGTGGAGCATTATCCTTCATCTATTCCTGCAAAAGAATCACGAGTAGAAGCCATGGATGTTTCTCTCAAACTGTTAAGTCTTCAGAGAGTTGGGCTCTGATACCAATTGTTAGAAAATACGCTTAACGCTAGAGGGGGGGTGAATAGCGTTATAATAAAAAATAGCATAAACTTGCGGAATTTAAAAAATTGCTGGAATAATAAACGTGCGATAAGTAAATGATAAGGAACGAACGCACCGATGTATCCTGGTTCACCACAACACGTGGCTAGTCCAGTCCCCGAGAGACTCTCTCGAGATTTCCACTAACACTTGTTAAGCTTACGGGTGCTCAACAAGCCGTTACAAACTGATAACTTGAGTCACACAAGTCTCAACAACCTTTGCTCGAAGATACCGCACTTCAAGACTTCACACGAAGGAATAAAACGTTCCTTCTTACAACAAGGGATTATAGATTTCCCTTCAAGTGTATGAACACTTTAATACTCACTTATACAATAGCTTTCTCAAAGAATGGATATGAGTACAAAAATAATCAGCTCAAGATCACAACAACTTAATCAAAGATTGGCTCTCAAAAATGATGAATTTAGAATGAAAATGATTGCAATTGTAATATGTAAAAAAATTGACAGATTTTTGCTCAGTTGCTGTGTTTAGAAGAGTGTTTCAGGGGTGTATTTATAGGCTTAAAAGAGTATCAAACCGTTGCCTAATTGTCAAACAAAATCCCTGAAATTGTGCTGCGACAATCGATTGTCAAGACTTAACAATCGATTGTGTGACCATTTTTCAAAAGACAAATCTTTGCTTTTTAGCAGAAAATCGATTGTTTGAAAATCTGTAAGTCAACAATCGATTGTTAGAGTACCACAATCGATTGTGGTTCATATTTTCAAAATATTTCGGTCAAGGATTTGAAAATCACAGATTGTGTAAATCAATTTCAACCACCAGATCTTGACTTTAAGAAGCAAATTGATTGTAAAAAATCTGATTGGAATTTTGAATCTTCAACAATCGATTGTCACACTTTCACAATCGATTGTTGCTTAAGTTTTCAAAACATATTTGACAACGGTATGAAAATAATCGATTGTTGAACCATGACAATCGATTGTTTGTTTTATGAAAACTTTTTGTAACACACTGCCTCATGACAATCGATTGTTTAACATACGACAATCGATTGTGAGCTTATTTGAAAAATTCATTTACAAATTTGTCTCATGACAATCTATTGTACAAAGAACAACAATCGATTGTTTACCTTATTGAAAAATTCATTAAGTCACTGACTCATGACAATCGATTGTGTCAAAGCCGTCAATCGATTGTGAACTGTTTTGAAAAACTTTGTTTAACTAAAATCGATTGTTTAAA